TATTTTGAGGTTCCAAATTTGGTCCCGCGCTTAGGAGACGAATAACGCTGAGTGGAGCAGGAAAACGCTCCATCTGGGAATTAGCAACTACCGGGGTGGCGGTGAAAAATGAAGGGGATGGATCAGCCGGTCGTCCGGCTCCCATTGTTGAGCGTGGGCTCCAGGAATGACGAAGAACCTGCGCAGAGCGTTCTGCGTGATTCCGTAACCCATTGCCGGGCGGACTGAAGCACTGTGCACTTCGTCTCCTGACTCGCAGTGGTTGAAAAACTGGCAGCGTGTTGGATGTTGATGGATCTGCTTCTAGCATGATCCGAGGGGACTGAAAGTCATCGAAAGTTTTGCTTGACGCACTGCAATTTTGATAAGGTAAGTGCCTCGCACCATTAACTGGTACGTCCGTTGATTGCCACAGCTTATTGTTCCACCAGCGAGGCCCGTCCATTCGCCGAGATGGTATAAGAAATGTCACGCGCAAGGGACACTGCCTATTGGCTGTATCTCAAGGTCACTCTAGGAGTTTACCATGTCCCAAAACCAATCAGTGGGAGAGTAAGAGCAGGAAAACGCGTCTCGATCAAATATGCACAGACGTGTGCAGTTCCGGGCGGGTGGAGGAGGCGAGAACCACAAGGAGGCAGAGAGGAGAAATTGTGTGCGTGTATGTGCGAGGTTTTTTCCCGTCACTCAACACTGCGCCAGCGCCATGGGCGGACCGATGCAGGCAGAGTCAAAATGTCATCCTTTTTAGGTGCTGTGCTGCATGCGGCTGTGCCCGGTAAAGAAAGTACGTAAATAACCCGCCATTGTTATGATTTCTTCGAGTGTAAGTAAACTCGATCAATGTCCCCGTCCCTGCTTGGTGCCAGACTATGCTGAGGTTGACAAGTTAAGTGGCGGTCAGCTGGCTTCACAAAGGAATCGTCTACCGGCACAAAATCTGAGGTCAAGGCAGACAGATAGAAAACGCAAATAACCAATGCCAGCAGAGTTTTCGCCTCAAACAGAACATTCCGGTGTGTAGTGCGGATGTACACAGCTTACTGACTTATGAGGAGAAAGTAGGGAGACGAAAGGGTAAAGAAGAAAATTTAAAAATCATTAGCAAAGCTTGGGAAAAAATCCACTTTAAATTGAAGACACATCGTGCTGCTTAGTTTGACGCCGCTTCAAAACAAATGCCAGCTAGTGGGCTGGCTACTTATTTGTCCTCGAAAAGCGGAATTCGAGTAAAATACAAATTAGTTTTATGTCGAATTGTCTACTCTGCCGCAAAATAAAATAATAAAACTAGTGCCTGATAAGGCACATGCCTCTATTTCCCTCAAATACTAAACAGGACTTTAGCTCTTGCTGAAAGAGCATTAGATAGAACCAAAATAAACACAGATGAGCTTTATTTACTTGCATCATTATAAATACACGATTATATTGTGAGTTGATGCAATAAATACACCCAAATATTTATCAGACACCTGCACATGATTGAGGACAAGGATATTGCTTAATTGGGGTGAGGAGAACGTGAGGATGATAAATCCTTATCAAAATATTGAACTTAGACAGCAAGTATAATATAATTGTATTCAATAGAAAGAAAATAATTTAAGGGAGGACCAAAATCTGTAAAAAGCAAAAGATAAACACTTTCCGTAGTGCCGGTGGCACGACTGTCAGGGAAGATCTAACTTCCGAATCTGCAGCAA